CCAAAGCAGCCTTGTGTTCCCTTAACACTTTCAATAATCTATCTTTTTCATCCTTTGTGAGTGATAAAGAAATGATAACTGGAGATGTAGAATTGTCCTCGAAGAATGCATAGCGAAGGTGATTTGGTAATTGCTTCAGTTCAATTTTGCTGCTTGCATCACTCTCTTTATCATCTGATCCTACTAACTGCTTAATATCTTCACACTACGATGTGTTGTCCTCAATTGGTGTAGATTCAAGAGCCAATATGTAACCAACTAAATCCTTGTTTCCTGTGTACCTTTCAAAAGTTTTTATGTCATCCTTTGTTGCACTGAACATCATACACTGTTCCAAGGAGTCCTCAATGAATAATTGCTCTTCTCTCACAGCAGAATCAATGAAGTCAATTCTGTGGCAAGTGTCAGTGTCATCCACATACTTCATTGCTTGGTAGATGTTGAATCTCACTTCTTCTTCGTTCACTCTTAATGTTAGATGCCCTCCTTGTACATCAATCAATGCTCTTCCTATTGCTAAAAATGGCCTGCATAAGATCAATGGGATTTCCTGATCATCTTCCGTATCTAATAAAACAAAATCGGCTAGGAAGATAAATTTGTCGACCTTTACTAACACATCTTCAGTAATCCCTCGGGGGTATGTGATGGATCTATCAGCTAGTTGTAGAGTTACTGTTGTTGGCTTGACTTCCCCAAGGCCTAACTTCTTGAACACTAATAAAGGCATCATGTTGATGCTTGCTCCAATATCACAGAGGGCTTTGTCAAAAGAGGAGTTTCCAATGGTGCATAGAATAGTGAAACTGCCTGCATCTTTTCTATTCTGGGGAAGTTTATTTTGAAGGATAGCACTACATTCTTCTATCAATTTCATTGTTTCATACTCATCTAACTTCCATTTCTTTGACATTACTTTCTTCACAAACTTCGCGTAGTTCATAATTTGCTCCAAAGCACCTGCAAAAGGAATATTAATGTGAATTTTCTTGAAAATTTCCAAAAATTTGGCATAATTGATCATCAACTTTTTTCTTTGGAAAAGGTTGTGGGAATGGAAGTGCTGGTTTCACTAAAGAAACTTAGCCTTTCCCTAC